GCGTCGGGGAAATAAGGAGTCCATCAAAAAATTTGAGTACGCCCCGTGAGCAAGGTACGGGAGCTTCTGTCCGCCGGATGCTCTCGTTCATTCAGAGGCAGTGCCGCTCATCTCTCGACGATATTCCGCCGGAGGCCTGCCAAGGGCGTCTCGACTCGACGAAGGCGTTCGCTCATGCCGCTGCCGGCACGATGACAAAAGTCTGCTCCTGGTACCAAATTGCGAGAACCCGATGCATCCCGATGCATCTTGATATCGATAACCCGGGTATTTCTTACAGACGGGCAACTCCTAGCTCTCGCTCACTCAGCGGTGAGGAAGCTGATTGAGATCCCGAAAAGCGCCGAATCGTCGGGCTGCAGAGCGGATTACCCTCGAGTGCGTTGAAATACAGATTAGCAGGCCCTTCCACCGGGGGGTTTTCACGTCACTGCTCTTCTACCAACCTCAAGCTCCTACCAAGTTCTCCGGGAAACTTCTCCTTCCAGTTTCCATGGGCGTCCCTGGCGCCCTTCCGATTTCTGTGGCTGGCATTCGAGCTCAATGTGATGGATGTTTCCCTAAATCGGAGAAACTTGACCTAATCGTGATCGTGAAACTCTGGGCAGAGGCTGAGATACTCGGATGGGTCGTCCACAGACTTGAGCCATTTTCTCTCGACCCAACGCAGTTCAAGTCTGGTGAAACGGAAAACCCATTCGCCTTATGAAAGGAACCGATCCCGATTAATTTTCCCCGAGCCCAATTATTCGAGATGAAGGTCCACAGCTCGTTGTTCCCAAGAGATTGCTGCAATTTTACATTACTCCAAACAATTTTCATCGTCGATTTTCCAAATACAAACATCCTTCCCGTCTAGTGAGGTCACGGCTCTACCCGCTGCTTAGCCCCCGAGACTGAATGAGGAGGTGTCGGGGAATTCAGGGGCTTTCCGGCGCTGATCCCCGTGTTTGCATCCGCGCCATTGGTCTCTGCGAGAACTTCATCGGGGTGGAAGAGGGCCCCAAGGATTTCCCCTCGGAACGCTGATCTTGTCCCGCTTGTCCTTGACCGCCCTGGGGCCTTCGCAGAACGGAGAAAGCCATTGGTTGCTGTCCATATCCTGTCGTAGACATGATGAATAATTGTTGCTGTGGTGGTGGTTGCGGAGCTTGTGGTCTAGGCATGATGGATAAGATCATCGGCCTCTGCGGAGGTGGCGGTGGAGCTTGAGGGGGCGACATAATGAATAGCTGTTGTTGAGGTGGTGGCGGCGGCGGAGCTCTTGGCATAATCGATAGGATCATAGGCGCCTGGGGAGCCGGCGGTGCCTGGTATTGAGGCATGAATGATAGAAACATCGGTAACTGTTGGCTCTGAGGCTGTTGGGGCATCATCATCTGCAGGAATGGGTCCCGGGGTGGAGGCTGATCCTCTGAGCTCATTGTCGACTGGCCCGTTTTCGTTTCATCCTCGCCCTGCGGAGGTCCTCCCGGTCCTTGTTGTTGCGGGAGCGGCAAGGGGCCCCGCATGCCGAATCGGCCCGGCATCATGGGCGCGTATGCCCCGAAAGGCATCATCGGTTGGGCCCCGTACGTTCCCTGAGGGTTCTGCATTATGGAGAGGAACATTGGCTGCTGTTGCATCTGTTGCTGCGGCGCGGGAGGAGCCGCCATAATCATTAAAGGTCTCGGTGGCGGAGGCGGGGCACTGGGTCTGGACATGATCGACAGGATCATCGGGCGAGGAGGTGGTGGCGGCGGTTGCGCCCTCGAAAATATCGAAAGGATCATGGGTCGCGGAGGCGGGGGAGGGGGTGCTTGACGCTGCATGATTGAGAGGATCATGGGTCGCGGAGGCGGGGGAGGGGGTGCTTGACGCTGCATGATTGAGAGGATCATGGGTCGCGGCGCTGGGGGCGGTGCGGCCGCCCGCTGCATGATCGACAGAATCATCGGTCTGGGCATCATGTTGGCTCGGAGCTTTGGACTTGTAGAGTTTCTGGAGTACGCTCACTTCACCAAAAAGTATTCTCACGATTTCTGACAACGATGGGCTGCGGGATGATGATCTCTGATTTAAATACACGACGAGTTTTCTTGTGATGAGAGCTCCGGAAGGTGCGGGCGAAAATCCCAGAACACACTGCGTCGCCAGTGCCGGGAGCATCTGTTCGTATCAGGAAATGGAAGTCACCCGTCAGTCCAAAGTCTTGTGCGAGGGCAAAGCAGCGTACTCGATCCCTTTCTAGCTAAACAAGCATCGAAAGCCATATGTTGAGAGTGCGATTCCAATGAAAAATAAAATTCCAAACAGTTTTCAACCCCGTCAGATAACGAATCACCACGTACGAGTTGAGAGGATTTGAGATACACTTCTAATGCAGCGTTTCTAAAACTAGGGGGACGCGTCTCCTGGGGGAGACGCGGGAGAAATCTGGGGGAGACGCTCAGGGTTCCGAGAATTCCCGACCGACCTGATTTCACGTTCCAGAAAGCTTACAAAGCTCATTGCTACTGTACTCCAAGCTTATAATCATTGTACAATTGAAGGATGCATTGATCGAGCTCAGTACCGAAAAAATATAGTCAATACCTCCAACTCGATTGGTTGCCGTGGATTACGCGGAGATGCTATTCCAAAGAACGACTTTCTGAAACCGTTGGTGTAGTCGCAAAGTCATACTCCGTGGCTTTGCAAATTTGTAGCTCCAAGACGAAGACTTTTCAGGTCCCCGATCCTGTAACAGAATCACTTCACAAGAAAAAGAAGGAATGAAGGAGCCACGGAAGAATTTCTCAACAATGTTCATATATCCTATCCTCGATGTGAAGGATGCTCGATCCGGTACCACCCTTCAAGTTAGTTCAAGGTTCCCCATGAGCAAGACTCAGCTCGCCTCGCAAGGTCCCGTTCCGATAATTTCCACCAAACCTAACCCCTTATTCGGGCGATGGGGAATCGAGCGATCGGGGCGATACCCACGGGCGACATCCCATGGGGGACTCACTCAAATCTAGTGTGGGCACCAGCAGCGCCATGTGGGTGTCTCTCGGTCCGATGTTTCCGAAGAGACACCCATTGTTAGCCATCTTGCGGAATTTCGTCGTCGAGAAACACTTCGCACGCTCATACATGCTCAGCGTCGGTGCAGGTCTCCGGTGCCTCTGCTCGCGAAGAAGATTAAGCAGATCAAGACCGAAGAACCAGAGAGGCCTTATATTGTGCAGCCCGTCGCGTCGCTGTCGAGGCCTCGGGGGCACTGGGGAAGTCCACGGATAGACTTTCCTACGTCGAATCGTCAAGAGAATGGAGAGAGTTGCTAAGAATGAGAGTGCGGGGTGATTCCTGCTTTATCGGAATCCGTTCGAGGTATAAGGGGGCAATGCTGCTCCAAGCCGCGAATCGTAGCCTCGAGGGCTACCTCGAGCCGACAAAGCGAGGAGTAGAGCTACATCCCCGGTGTCCAAGCCCAACTGGGATGAAGTATCTTCTCGCCCTCTCTTTTGGAAAAAGTCTGTGAGTCTTGACTTGAGACGCTTAGCTCATCTCATGCGGTGCACGGCGTCGAAAAAACCGTTCGAGCCACTTCTGCTAGGTTTTCAGGTCGACGACGGCGATCGACATTTACTGCATTCGTCTCGACGGATCCCCCTGACTGAGAGTACCTGGTCTCGGTTGGTCATCCTTCCGAGCTCCACGTCATATTCATGCATATCTGTTAATGCCCGGAAATTGAAAGAAAAGGATTTGTTCTATACCTGTGTCACCCGAAGCTGACAGATACGGAGATCCTACCACCGACGGAATAAGGGAGCTTCAGCAGCTCGCATAGGTTTTCTTTGGAGAGATTTCCATCGTTCTGTTTGGTTCGAAGGCGTGGAGGATCTTCGGGACTCGGATACGATCGCGATCAAGACAGTAACACGAAACTCGCTCGGCGAAGGGCGGAAATCGGGGGACAGCTCTAATGATCGGAATGCGACGAGCATATACGATCTCTGATTTCTGCGGTCTCTACTGTGATACATCAGGTGCTCATGTCGTTTTGGGTGAGTTGTCCTCACGTTTCGGCCTTTTCTCGCTGTGGACGATTGAGCGAAATTTTCGAAGGTATGGACTGAAGGAAGAACGCTCTGGATTGCATTCCGTAGCTACGCCGGAGTCCTCCATGCGGTAATCAGTTCGAATATCCCGGAGGATGAGTGATCGAAATTATTGTTGGTGGATCGTCCGATCCGCACTGATTCGAGACGAGGACGAGCCCTCCAATCCTTGGATATCCGGCTCTCTGAGAATAACAATCAGCATCAGATGTCGGAGAGGGGTCGCAATTTGCAACTGAATGCCGAGCCAGGCTTCTCTCTGGGTCACAGGCAAAATATAAGGCCGACGCTCCTTACACCCTGTGTTTGGAGAAAGAGTTACCCGAGAATAAGATATGCCGCAAACATCTTTGCAAAGAAGGCGAACCCTTGAACCGACTCCCGGTGACACCACCGTGCCAAGCGGATGTCCTCCAAGAACCCGGTAAGAGTCGCGAATTCCCGACGCTGCTGTGGTGTGACGCGTTGCGCTGCAGGGACAATCCGCTGCGGCGACGCGGATTGCATCTTACATCCCATCGACATCCTGAATGGAATATCGCATTCAATGCACAAAAACATGTCGATCGATGATGGGGCATGAGGGTCACCGATCTTCCTCAGTGCATGTTGAGAATATTTCTGTCCCAACTTCCATCCCCCAGACATCGGACAGAAAGTGGATTCAGTAGATATCCCGACATCGGAACCCGGAGTTAGTGGACCAATCGGAATTGAATTTGACTCTTCGGTTCACAATCGGTGAAACTCTTCCCCGGAAGAGCGCGTTCATTTATTCCCCAAGGTGCGTATTACATAGCTCTTCACAACAACCGCACACCAGCTTCATGTGTGCTCTCTGAAATCAACGCATTTCAACGACTAATGACCACGCACATTCGTCACCTCGATTCACGTAGCAATGCGGAGTGTCAATTACCCCTCCGAAGCGACTCGAACTTCCCGCGTTGCAGCGGGTCGTGTCGGTGAAGCAGGGGAGCCTGCCTCCCTTTTCTCTGAGTGCGACCTCTTCCAAACACCCAGGACACGCCCTTGGCCATCCATAATCAGAACTCTCGGAACTCCGGTGGAACGTTCTACGTGTTTATCCTTTCTCGAGGGCTTAGCTCGAATCATGAAGAAGCTGTCGTCCGATGTGACCCAACCTCCGAGGGATTCTTGAAGTTGTTCTTCCGAATAGCCCATATTCGTGACGCCGGCCACGGACACCTTCACAGCCTGCAAGATGGAACGTATTGCCAATATTTCCCAGCGGAGAGAGAATAGGGGCCGACGATACCGGCCTCGATCGAAGCCTCGGGAGAATCGACATTCGGGGGTAAGAGGTTATCAGAGACCTGATGGGGAAGCTTGGCAGCGTCGTCGTAGTTCTCGATTTCGTAAATATTGGCTCTCGGAACCGGCACCTTCATCCACGTATCTGGGAACCACATCGTGACGTGGCTCTCGAATTCCGATTCGGCTTGATACAAAGCTCTGTTCCCGTAATGTCCCCCGTCGCTTAGCGGGACCTTCGCAAAGTAATAGCGGTGGGGCCGGAGCTGGAAGTGGAAGCGGCACGTGAATAGAGTCGTTGAACCGGCGAGTTCAGGATCGCATTGAGGTCCGAACTCGAATTATTCTAGAACTCACGCCTTGCGCAGGTCTGGCCTCGTCGTACTGGAAACGAGCCATTTCGAAGAGTTTGAAGGAATACTCCAGAACCTGGACGATCAGGTGACCGTCGGCTTCGTAGTTCACCAATTTTATGCGTTTAAAGCCGTGCTGGCTATAGATGATGTCGAGATTCTCGGAGGGAGTTACAGACCCGTTGAGATCGTCATACGAGCTCTCAAGATCGTCGTCGAAGTCCTGACACTCGTTTCCCCTGCTGGTCGTTATGTCTTTGCACCAGCCTCGGAGGAGCTTCTGTTTCGGAGTACTTCCGCTCCGCTTCCGTCTCTCATAGCTCCTCTCGAGGAGTTCGTCCGAAACGTCGTCCGTCTTCGAGGAGTTTGCGTTGTCGCTGTCTCCGGGTATGGGGGCTGAGTCTACATAGAAACCGAGCTTCCTTTAGACAAAAGTGCTCCTCCTCCGGAACGTCTCGCGATGATGGCTGACTCACCGGTCACTTCGAAGGGGGAATTCGTCGATCGGCCGGGGAACTTTCCGATTGTATAATGAGGACAACAAAATGAAAAACCTTTTTACGTACGTCCGTTGGACGATCTATTCATCGACGAGGCTGTCTCGCTGGTCTCATCCACAAGTGTTCCACCGTTGTAGAACATTTCCAGGGGGATTGTCCGGTGCGTTCGTTTGGCCGGGAGAACACCTGCAGCGAACACTTGTAGAATCTATTCCTGATGCGAAGCGAGCGATCCCGCGACGGATTCTCACTCTTAGAATGTTCTCATCGACATGACCCGGGGATGTCGGCCCCGATGTCGACCGGAATGTTTTCAATTTCGACCGCGCACCAAAACACTCGGATCCGGCTTTGTTTGGAGAGAGAACAGCGAGTGTTTCCCCCCGTTACGCGCGCGCTTGGAAACTGCCACGGCTTTCATTTAGGCGACGCGCGGAAGAAAATTCTGAAGAATTCTGTCGGAGTAGGATGCCTAGCATTATTCGCTGGATGATCCCCTTGATTCGGAAACAACGGTGGAATTGAGTCCGGAATCCGCACGCTGCGATCACAGGGAGAATCCTATTCAGCAGAAGCCTCGCTGAAATTCCGCATCCCTCGAACGAGGCAACTAATTCGGAACGCAGGGGAGAGATTTAGGGCCGAATTTATACCTCGGGAAAGCATTGCATCGCTAGGCAACTAGCAAGCAAAGCCGAGGTGGTGGTGGGGGAGCTGGCGAAGGGTACGGGGGAAATCAACGCTCATATGCGCCTCGATGGGAGACGGCGACCGGAGTCGAACTTGAGAGAGTCGACGAATAATCTTCCGCTCCTCGAACTGAAACCCCGGTGCGAAAGCAATAACTGTAAGCAGTTCAGGACTGGCCCTTGAACTCGCTAATCGACTTGAACTATAGGAGCGATGCAATACACGCCCCGGTAGCCTGCGTGGGACGAGAAATGAATGAGGTTGAATACAGTTGTACGAATTTTTTCGAGGAATCTCGCACATGGTTCGCATCCATACACACGAGATCCCGTCAGCCAAGCAACGGTCCTGCATGGGAGTCCGTCAGAATGATGACCTGATGAGTTATGTACTCGAATCTGAGTTCCCTCGGAGAACCTCATGCAACGATATGATTTCTGAGTATTCCCCCTATTCGCTATCGGATGAGTTGGAATCGACTTAGGTAGAAGAAATGCACCGTACGACTCGGACCGCCCTTTTATTTCGACGAATTTCATCATCGGAACCGTAGTGAAACAAAGGTTTATTGCCTATCGCTGCTTGCGTCGGGTAGCAATGGGATCTCCCGGATCTACCGAGGTTTCTCCACTAGGGCGGGCTATCTGAAGGTGACGTTCCAAGCTCGGACTATCCAACTAATTAGGAAGAACAAAAATTTACATTCCATTTGAGGAACCGCGAACAACCCTCGGTTCCGATCAGCTTTCGGAAAATCGCTTCCTCGACGAGTTTCTTTACATTATCAAAATAGTGCCCCGCAAGATCTTGGGGCACCTCTGCTTACAGCGTAACCAAACGCACTGATGTCGACGATAGATCTGCCTTCAGATTTCTTTCCGCGCTCCTTGGGGGGCGGCTCGTATTCCGAGTGTCTCTCCGGTCTTTCGGCAGACAATGGTACGCATGAGTCCGTCTTTCGGAGCATCGACGGGGATAATGTAGACTTCCTCGTAGGCATTCCAATCCCTTTCGAGTCGCTCGAGGTCTTCTTCAGAGTATCCCTCGTTAGTGAGTCCGACCACGTGGATCTCAACAACCTGAAATGAGTGGAACATCCATACCTCTAGTAATTCCCGAAGGGGATAAATAGTCACGAGTGACCAGCTCAATGATTGCTACTGAATGGCGAGCTTCGAAGAAGAAATCCTGCTGACCTGCGGTGGCAGACGCTCGACATCCTGCAGGTTAAGGATATCGTACAGTTTGTTTATGGAGATGAGCCGTTCACATCCGTTGTCCAGAAGATAAATTAGAGCCTCTGTTCCGCGAACATGCTTCACCCGACAACGTTCCAGATAGATGCATCCGTTGTACAAGTGCTCGATGATGTACATATGACCGATTTCAATCTGCAAGGGCGATGACGACGTCGTGGGATGAGCGCGACCGGTGCTTCCACGAGTGAGATCCCGCTCGGAACGAAGAACGCATGAAAAATTGGAGCCAAGAAGGGCCCTCTACAAGATATCATACACTAATGATAGAAGTTTCAAACCTTTCCAGCCGGCTTCGACGAGTCATATTCGAATTCGGTATTGAACCACTCATCGTGCTGCTTCCCTTTCAGCTGCACGCTTACAACGCCGTCGGGTCGAATCGAACAAACGAATCCTCTCCTGATACCGAGAAATTTGAGACAGTAGCCGAATGATTCGAAAGCCGGGGTCCTTTCGTATTCTAGACGGAAGCTCTTGAACTTTTCGGTGCTATCCATTTCGAGCGTGAATGGCTTTCCCTTGACGATATTGGCGGCTCTTTTGATTGACGTCGTAAGATTTTCTTCGACAGAGTCGAGGATGGGCTTATTCTCGAGCTCATCATATTCTAGTGCATACGCGCTACCGTTTAGAGCACTAGCTGTCTGGTCTTCAGCATGGTGTGCTACGTTTTCCTGCGTGGACCCTTCAGGGATATGCTGAGAGTCTCTTCCTGCATACTCCTGAACTTGTTCTTGCGCGTACTCTCCAGGATGATGTCCGACGTCTCCTTGGAGGGCTTCGTGAACGTACTCTTGAGGGGCTCCATGAACGTACTCTTGGGTGGCTCCATGAACGTACTCTTGGGTGGCTTCGTGAACGTACTCCTGAGTGGCTTCGTGAACGTACTCTTGGGGGGTTTCGTGCACGTACTCTTGCGGGGCTTCATACGCCTTCTCTGCGGGAACTTCGTACGCGTACTTTCGGGGGGCCTCCTGCACGTACTCTGCGGCGGCTCCGTACGCGTACTCTTGGGGGGCTTCGTACGCGTACTCTTGGGGGGCTTCGTACGCGTACTCTTGGGAGGCTTCGCTCGCGTACTCTGCGGCGGCTTCGTACGCGTACTCTTGGGAGGCTTCTTGCACGTACTCTTGGGGGGCTTCTTGCATGTACTCTTGGGGGGCCTCTTGCGCGTACTCTTGGGGGGATCCAGGCACATATTCTCGGAGGGACTCGTACACGTACTCCTGGGGGGCTTCGTGCACGTACTCTTGGGGGTATTGACCCAACGTCTCCGCATTGGGCTCAGTCACGACCTCCGAATACTGCTCACCATCCGTTAATCCATCGAGCGGCCGTTCATCCGTCTGTGAGTACTCAGCAATGAACTCCGCTTGGTGCTGAGAGTCCTGGACGACATCGAGAGCTTGCGATCCGTAATCACATTCCGTGCTTCCGATCGTCTGCTCACTGACGTAGCCTTGATCAGAAAATGGAGCTTCTGTCCCATCGACATATGCGTTGTCAGACTCATACAGTGCGGCTTCCGCAGGAGGCTCCGCGTCCCCATCAGGGATCGCCAGAGCATCACCAGCCTTATTGTGGGTTGAATCAGATGCTTGAACGCCGTCCGCATCGTAGGTTCCCTGAGCTGATTCAGCGTAATATACAGCGTCTGTAGACGGTACGGTCGGAACCTCCTCGTAGTGGACTCCTGAAGCGTCTTGTTCCTCGAATGTTCCGTTCGAATAATAAGCCTCATCTGTGGCAGCAGCGGACGCCTCCCCGGCAACGACGTTTTCCCCGACTCCCTGCTCATAAGAGTAGTACTCCGCCCCCGTGTCGTAAGTCTGCTGTCCGGCTACGGTATTCTGTCCCCCGTCGTACTGCTCAGCGTACGCTTGCTCGAGATTGGTGTACGTACCGTCAACGTATCCCTGTGCCGCTAATTCGGCTCCAGGGTCCAGTTGATGGCCTTCGATGGGGAATTGTTCTGGAGCGAGGCCCTCTTGAAGTTCAGCCTCATAGGCGGTCGGATCGAGCGCTTGTCCACCTTCTTCGGCGACGACACTCTGCGCTACATGACCCTCCGAGTCGTAGTACTCTTGAGCGTACTCTTCAGACGCTGCGGCAACGACCGGGTAGCCGCCATTGTGGTACTGCTCCTGCTCGATAGCGTATTCTTCCTGATACTGTTGCGTCATGTCCGGGTACGTGGCCGGATCCGAAACGACATCCTGGACCTCGTAGTCGGGCGCAGCTTCTTCCGGATGCGCCTCTCCGAGATGGTTTGTCTCGCCAGTCGCAAAACTCGTACTCGTCTGATCTGTACAGCCGGAAGTCGCTTCGGGATGAATTTGAGAGCAACTCCGATGAGCCAATGACTCCGGAGCCCGAGTGCCGAAAAACACTTGGTCAAGATCCGACTGATGTTCTACTTCGCTGTATCCGTCAACCGGAGCGACCGACTCGTCGATCGGCTCAGAACTTTGGGCAAATTCTTGTTCAGCAGAATATTCTGCGTCTGACGCAGCATACGGAATTTCCTGCCCTTCGTACGCCTCCACCGAGGCGGGCTCTCCGTTCGCACATCCAACAACCTGCAGACACGCGCTGCCAGCATTTGATAAAGTATCTGTTCCAGGAGAAATTAGTCTTGAAGAGACCTCGTGAGATTCCTGGTCGGTGACATAGATCTGCTCTTCAGTCACATGAGCTTGCTCAGCGGGATACTGGCAGACCTGATCTTCTGTCTGGTTGACGTTAGAGATCGAATCGCCTGGCCCGTCGTAGTATTGCTGTTCTGCTCCTGTCTCCACGGGAACATCGTCTGTTCCGGTTTCCGGAGTGTGGCCATCAGGGGCGCAAAGAACTTCAGATCCATCATCCGGGATCGCTTCGGTGCGCTCGACTTGAGTGTTGTACTGATCATGAGCCTCGGCGGCAGACGGATCCTCAGCTTGACCATAAGAGGTTCCATCGACTTGGAAAGCTGGATCTACGTAGAACCATTGATTGGCTGCGCGGTCGAAATATATAGGTTGGTTTGTGTCCGGGCAGTACTGAATGTCTGCATCGGTGAGACTAGGCGTGGTTTGACTCGGATAAGCATCCGTTCCGTTCTCCGGCACGAACGTGTTCACCGTGGGAGGGATATTTTCATCAGGTAGCGTCTGCTCCGGTGCTGAGATTGAATTCGCCTCTAGCGGCGACCCTTCTTGATAGCCTCCCTCGTATCCGCGCGTAGTCGTATCCCCATAATCGAGACCATATTCGTCGCCTCGACACCGAGGATCAGAAGCATCCAGCTGAGAGTCCTCAGCGTATACATCTCCATCGGCAACCGGATCAAGGTCGACTTCGACGCCTGTGGAAAACAGAACTCATTTAGCTCACGATGAATTGACGGAAATGAAGTTGAGAGTATATCGAAATCAATAATTACATCAAGACATAACTTTCAATCGAACATTGGAATTTCCACGAGGGATAATTCCAAACAAGTAACATTTTCCATCCCGTGCCCCTACCGTCTGAACCCCCAACTCACCGTCGTCACACGCGCGAACGTATGAGCTGATTTCATTGGGAAGCATAGCCGTCATTGTCGCCATTGTAATTGCGAGCTTACCGGAGCGAGATCTGTGGATTCGAACAATTTCATAAATTTTGTCCGGAAGACGGCGGGCGTATCGAAAACCGTCACTCGCGCTCGCGAGCTCGATACCACGCATGGAACGATCTATTCAAGATGCATTGTCCTCGTTCGGCGCCATCAGCGACCACCGCACAAACCAGGATTCTGAGCTCGATCAGTCAGGAATCGAGACTGACTTCCGAATGAGCAGTCGCCGAAAGGAATTGAGAACTGCTGCCGCTGACGCGACTCGTGGCCAACGAAGTTCGGTGGTCGGATGCGGTTGCGGTAACCGTTTTCCTCTCGTTCGAATAGGGACCGCCCGGAGAAGGCGCTGGATGTGCTCTACACGTGCTGTTTATTGGATTTCAACAACATTGATCCCAGCCCCATGGCGCCATTCGATATCTGCTGCACCTGTGTAGTTTATCGTAAGGAAAACGCGACTGGAGAACGAGGCCGTTCACTTGGACAAACAAGTCCTCCGAGACAATCTCGACGAACGACTCTTGATATTCTAGAAGGAGAAATTCTTCAGAAGAGGGACATCATACTCCCCGGTGGACTAATTTTTGGAATAACGCTGCTAGCGGTGTGCATGTTCCCGCTCGAGGATTCGGATACACTCGTAGGCTCAAAAATTCTATACGTCTCATGGCGGCGAAAAACATTTGGTATGGGTCAATATTCTTCGTGGTCTCGATGTTCTCCGAGAACTCTCAGGTCGACGGTCAACGGGGAAGGGATTCGAATAATTCAAGAGGTCTTTATGGAAATCACTCGGCCGCACCAGCAATTGTGGAGTAGTGGAAAACTCGGAAATAGTCAGCGATTCTAGCGCGCCACGAGAGCACTTTCGGCCGCTCGAAGAGGGCGGCGGATAGCGGTATCCTCTTTTCTAGGATTCTACAGGAGAATACAAAAAAAACTATGATGGCAAATGAACTCACGGGTAGTTCCCAATCGGCTGCTCGGATCAAGAGCCGAGTTAGGCTTCCTCAGGTCTGCTTTCGTCGAGAAGAAATAAACCTGGTCGAATCACGCGCCTCTCGACGGAGCGTTCGCTCCTGGAATTCGACGCACGCTGAAGTCCCACTTATTGACGCGCACTCGATATATGTTCGAGAACCCTCACGGAAGTCTAGAGGCGGCGCGAAGTTGTGGCCCTTTGCCAGCGGAACTTTGAGCAACACTTCCAGTCCCCACTTTCGCGACGTTGCCTTGGTCCTCGTCCGTGTTCGCGAGGGGGGGAAGTTTTGAAATTTTCCCGAATTACAACCAGAATAGCGCGCGCTCGATTATGCGTCGCCGACCCTGTAGACACTTTGCGGAGAAAAGAGTCGGTTGCTTCGAGAACCTCCTCTCCCACGAGCGCTGTCGAATAAGTTTACTCGATTCAATTCAGCGACGCGACACCGACGTGATGTCTTCTGTGAGATGTCTGGGGATTCCAGAGACGTCTCCTAAGATCGGGAGCTTGCAATGATTCCTCGTAAGACTCTGAGTTACCTTCCGATGCTGAATGTGAACGGCACCAGGACAGCCACAGTCCACAGTCGATAGAATTCGCGGAAGCATCCACAAAACCCCAGACCTAATGACAGACTTCTTTGCTCGGAGGAGGCAAGTCCACCGTGCTCGACATTTCGACATCCGTTTAGTTCGACCATGGACCCAGGTGGGCTCCAGAGCAAGACAAATGATGGGACAACTGCATTCACCGCCTCCTATAGGCATCTCGTACTTCTTTCTTTTCTCGTTCTCGCTAAAAGTAGGGCTGTATCGTATCATCATTTTTCATATTTCAAAGAGTTTCCGATTCGGTTTTCGTCACGCCGAAGGGATCTCCAAATTTTTCTTTGCTTAGGTACAATATGCATCAATTCTCATGAAGTGCCTGATATCCAGGAGTCCGCGCCGGAGCACATGGCTCTGCTCCTCGGATCTCGAAGCATCAAACTATGCTCTCAAGCTCTTCGGGAAATGCCCATCTCCGGACATCATTCTTTTCTGCTTCCAGAGACTAATGTGACGTCTCCCATCGGCTCGATTCCAGTAAACACAGAGTACCGCTCGTTTCCCTAGCGGTCCATTAAGGTTCGTCAAGCCAGCGGAAAAATTCTACAGAGCATCTGAGGATCACCCTCACGATAAAGGTTAGATCGGAACGTGCACGTGCCCGCTCGATGTGACAAGCGGCTCGAGCGGAATATCAAAGCTACGGCTGATACATATTATTATTCCGAGAACGGCTCAGTCTGAGCGCACCGAACGACGCCGACGTGGAGCATTATGGAACCGGACACCGAGAAGTGCCCGGCCTCTCTTAATGCCACCGATCCCCGGATTCCGGAACGTGTATGTAGGAGCTTCCCAAAAGTGGTCAGGACGGTGGATGGTGGAATAGCGATTCGGTGAAATCCATTGTGTCGATGTCCTACTGTCCCTCTGAGATGGCGGAGCGACCTCACTCAGACTCGATTTGCACTCCCGGTGGTCTGCGCCAGCGGAGCCATGGCAGGGAACAAGATCGTCGCGTCGGCGTCGCGGGATACGTCGGAGAGACACTCGGGAAGCATGAGCTGCATTATGCATCCACACGATACTCGATCTCGAAAAAGCGCGGGATCACGGTAATAAGCTCGAATCCTTCCACATACTTATCGGAAGAACAGACGCGCCTGTCCATTCTCATCTCGAATCGAAGATTGGAGACTTACATCCCGACTCTAGCAAATGTTCACTGTGCGGAAAGTTTTATGTGATTCAATTTGAATTCGAGCCAAAGTCGGCCGAAGGCGCTCCGTGGGTTACACCAGGGAAGTTCCCCGAGACAGAATTTCACCGAAAGCGGCCCGATCACGTCGTATGATCTCGGAGGCTCGCTAGGAATCATTTCATATCTCCGGTTGATCAACATTCCCGTGACACGACGGGAGAATTCTTCCATCGCGGTCCGTCAGGAACATGCGGCAGTCCGCTCGGAGCTTGGAAAACTGAGTGAGAGGACCGTTCTGAGACGCCAAAAAGTTGGTATCCTATGTCGAATGCGTCTTTTCTCTTCGTCCCACCTGTGGAAGGGAGTAGAAAGGAGCTGCCTCGAACGGAGTGAAGTATCGTTGATCTGAAAATCGACGTGCCGATTGAAGGCGCGTTCTGAGAACACCCCACAAGGCTCCGGATGAGGGGGATCCCGACCGATGGGTGGAAATCGATTTGCCGGCATCGAATGTAGTGAAACCTGTCTGACGGGTCCATGCGGCGACACAGCCCAGAACGGACCGCTACCTCGGAACTAGCGGCGCCCTGAGAAAGCGAATCTTGTACACTTTCTGGGAAGCGTTCACGGAGAATATGATGATCCCTTTGATCAGCGCAGATGAAGCGCAGGAATGAGTGACCAACTCGCGAATTTCTTCGATCTGATTCAAGATTCTTCCACAGTCACTGATCGAGGTATATCTTAGAACTAGCTATGAAAATCCGAGGTCAACTATGTCTTGGCGTCCGCACAGCGCATCTCTACCCCAGATTGTCGAGCTCCCTATATGTTTCATCCCCAGTTGTTGATCTCAGCTCAATCGCTCCGGTGCGTTCTTCTCAATCGCACACTTATTTAGTTATTCGAAAGCGCTATCAATTGAAATTCCCCACGCCGGAAGCATGGTGCACCCTTTCGGCGTCGATTCGCGCGCGTATCTGACGAGCCGGCGACGCCGCGGGCATCTAGTCGCTACTGCTTCGCCTCCTCTCTTCATTGTGGGTTTGCCGCTCATCGCGTCGTCGAGCGCTACGCTTAGCTTTGCTACGTCTCGCTCGTCGAACGACGAACGGAGACGAGACACCAGCAGCAGCTGCAGCAACGAGATAGAGCCGTTGTGTGGAGGAGAGTCCACGATGTGTGCTGTGGTGCGATCGGCAACTTGAGCTGTTACTTGTTCTTCGGAATCAGTGATTGGACTCCAGAGTGTCTCGAGTGAAAGTCCACTGATGTCATCGTCGATGAACTTCATCACTAACTTACTATCACTCGTATTCCCAATGGTATTTTCGCCGCCGACTCCGTTGTCGTCGTTGTAAGCACGACGGACAGAATGTTCTCAAATTCGAGTGCCGTTCGATGGAGAAACGAGCTCACTTAGAGAAGATACTATGAAACTCGGTTTCCAAAAGAAGCGTGGGCTCTGTACGCTTCTGTTAATCCTCTGTTGGTAAGTTCACCCTCAGTTCAAGTTCGAATCATCGATCACCCGCTAGCCTCTTCCTTCGAATGAGAGTTTACAGACTGTTGTTCGAAAAGAGCTCGATGGCTCTTCTTTCGATGTCAACTTGGACATTGTTTTGATGGGTCCTTGAGACGAGGCGGGTAACCCATGCGGCTTACTCAGAGTTTTGGAACGTGATGTTGGATCTGGAAATGTGGGTCAAGTTGCATCCTCCCCGGGTGTCACCGGAGTTCGCTGTGGTGTTGGCGGATATCGATGCTCCCTCCAGTAACTCCGCTCGAGTTCAAAAGTCCGCTCATGACTTGACAAAGTTGGTGCGCACGTGTTTTCCGAACACGCTGGGAACACCTGTCCCGAGTGTCCCGTACGTGGATACAAACGTGAATGGTCCGATCATGATCGCTTTCGATCCGGGATCGGACAGTTGGCTCCCATGAACTTTAAGTTCAGAAGTCAATTGAAAGCTCGGACATTCATCCGGTGGATAGCAACGTGGCTCGCTTACGTAAGTTCTCACACAAACAAGTTACGACAGTAAAAGGTCGTGCTGACTGTTCACGCAGACGCTGTCTGTCAGGGACACGTTAGACTAACTGCAGCTCCGGAACCGAGTGTGGAAAGTCGTGGGTTCGTTCGTCGCCACAATCAGTGCCCGCTTTATCTATCTGAACCGCAATTGTGTTCCATTCCGTAGCAGTGATATCGATTCACTCTTCGATCGTGGGCGAAACCGCGATTCGATTTGGAGCGAAAGATTTCGGGAATCCCGAGATGACGGCGCTCACAGCTCCAGGGTCTTCGGGACTCAATTCGGGACTGCTCATCGCAACCGAAACGGGCGGATAAACGGAAGGGGATCCTCCAGGAATGTAAAGCGTCCCGAGCGGCCTATCTGACTAGGATGCGATACCGGGGTGCCGAATTTCCCTGACACGAGCTCTCTGGTCTTGCATATGGGATCCATCGTCCGCTCGCCCGCGCGTTCACCGCCTCCGACTCTTTTCATTTTTGTAGAGTTGGAGCTTATGAATATTACGCCCAGGAATTCTCGCGAGCACGAGATTTCTTAGATCGCACGATCCGCCCCGATCCAGGTGGCTGTTTACGAGCCGCATCGAGATCACCGACGAATCGATATTGGATAATAATCAGTGCAGGAAATCACGTCGTGGCCCCGTGACTTCATGTGAGACTAGAGTGCTCTGACGGGACTTCTTCTGGTCGTGCCTCCAGAACCTAATCACTGTCCTTCCATGGTGGAGTCCTTTTCCGGCGAGTCGAGTGCTTTCCAAAATTTGTCTCGTCGGATTCTCTTGGAGCCGTCGATGAGTGCCTCTGGACCAAAGGAAAATCTGTTTCTGCTGAGGAGATTATCGGGGTTTTCCTCCTTCCTCGAATGTTCTCGTTCAGCGTTTTCCCAAATAATACGAAAAAACATTTGCGGAGCGGAGCGATCGCAGAATTCCTCTGTCGCTCCCCGAAAATGAATTCTGGAGTTTCCCGAGCAGATGCATTATTCGGTATGGAGATAAGTTGCGGTATCTACATTGAATTCCGGGGATTTCGTGGTGGAGGGAGCTGTCGTGCTTCGTGTGGCATCTTATCCATTTTCTTCAGAATATTCGCTCTTGCTCCGTTCCGGAGAAGACGCCCGCCCGTATCTCGAATGATGTTTCCCGATAAGAGCGGGACGACCTGCCACCCCATCTTATTCATAAGATTCGACTTGAACACAAATACAGAGTTTATTCAGAAGGTCCGTCTAGATCGAGGCAGAATGATTGTATTACGGGAGGTTTGAAGCTCATGATTCGAAGAGTGAGTCCGATCGATGGAGGAGCGGGGGAATTATTCGGTGAGTCTGGTATTTTACAAGAATTCGAATGTATCCAACTTCGCTTTTTATTGAAAGTCTCCAAGGAGAACATACACGGGAGTTCACGCGAGAAGCTGGAAGCTTTCTGGAAAATAATGCGAGAATCCCTTGCCGTTCTGGACTTACTCAATCATCTTCCCAATCGAGAATCTCTGCAGAGAGGAATAGACGATGGAATTCGAGGCGAAGATCGGAGCGATTTCGACGGGAGAAATCTTTCGAATCCTCGAAGTTTCTCCGGAAAGTGCTCCTGGGGCGCTTCCGCCTTTAGTCTAACTCCGTTCCGAAGCGTCTTCTTGCCTCATAGATTCCTTAACACCGAACTCCAGACCGGAGACTCGACTTGAGTCAAGATTTTCGGTCCGAATTATTCTCGGCAAGATTAACAGCGATACATCTGTCACGTTTTTCTGCGTGTACTTCGCTGCTGGACTAAGTTGACGTGTCTTAAAATCAATGGCGTTCATGGGTCGATGAGTGTCTGCGACTGACAACTGCGCACACACGGAGATATTCGCTGTCAAGGTTAGGGCCATTCGGGTCCATTGACGTGGATCTTGCTTCCACAAAATGCGGTTCGGACTGTGTATTCGCGAAGACCTATACTGTTATCCTGATTTCACCTTTTCGGCTCCGTTACAGTATATCATTCCACACACTCGGCTCCGTTATATTTGAATTTCTGTCCAGAACTTTTTCGCGGCCGTCGGCGTCGCGACGTCAGCGGAGCAGGCAGCTTTCCGACGCCTGCAGCGTCGCGCCGTCGCTAATTACTGGATGAAAAACATGTTTTCGCGCATTTCCACCGTTACCGTCTGTGCCATCTGATTTTCGTTGAATCATATCTAACGGAGTTTTGGAATTCTGAGCAGAGACCTTTTTGAATAGACAGCGACTTCGAACCCCGAAACTCAGACGCCGTCTCCCCGTGAGATTCTCGACGAGCGAGAGGCCTGCGGTCAGATGACCTCAAGACGAGATTCGTCTTGACATTGACCCAGTCGGACATTAGGGTGCTCGGCAGGGGAGGCTTCCATTTTTTTTCTCATCGTGACACTCGCCTGACGTTTTCGGGTTCCTCCCAGTCTCACGATTCAAGCCAGGCGGTCGAGTGATATCGTGCAGTTATGGACACGCCACAATCTCAATTTCCTCGAAAGCTGCGAGATGCCAGCGAGTAGTTATGGAAGAGGGATCGCGATCTCGACGCTCACCGGTAGATTGGCCGTCACTGAGGAGCGGGAACCGTCTGGGATGAATGAAATCGTTATTGAAGTTATCTCCCGCGAACTCATCTATGAGTTCTCAACGTGATGTGGGCATTTGAGTGGGTTCAAATGCATTCTCTCTGATGATCTCAGTCAGAAGCATTTGTAGGCAATTCCTGTGACTTTCTCGCTCGGTATGAGCTAAGTCATGTATATATCACACGGACGCCCGGATAGATCCTCGAAGAGGTGAATCATTTCCCATTGGAAGACACGGACGAGTTCCCTTCTCTGAGCATCACGCGGCGTATTTCAACAAATCCGCGCAAGTTCAACTCTCGAACGAATTTTCCGAGTGGGAAGTACACATGGATCGCCGGAGGACCGGGACATCTGGAACATTCTGCGCCGGAAACAATAGCGTCCGAGCTGAGCGGAACTGATTCCGAACAGCTGAGTAATTTTAATTGGGACGGGAGCGATCTAGAGATGTTAGAGAACTCGGCTTGTGATGCGTTCTTCGTTTCGGAGTTCATGTGTCCGCCACGTGCTGTATGTTATCGGTTTTTAAAAGGCTGTCCAGCCGGGAAACGACTGAGATAATGACCTACGCGGCAGTTCTTCCGGAATCCCCTCCTGATTCCCCGCCTGTCCCCGAAATACAATGCACCATTCTGGAAGCAAACTATGCAGTTCTGCCTGGAGATTCCCTACTCACGTTCTGAGTCTCTGATGAAAATTCAGATATTATTTCTTTCCCTGATCGACTTGTTTGCACTCGCTCCAGCGCTTGGCAGACAATGACTGCTTCCCTGAAAGCTCCCGACTTGAAAAGTCGAGGATCCCGAAGACAGATAATTTCCTCGCGTCCGGTGTCTTTCGCTCGAATTTTGCTGAAGTGGAGTCTCTCGCCAGAGCCAACCTACGTGGCCATCTTCAACCCGAAGAAAACATTCGAATCACAACTTCTAGAGCTCGGAGAGTCCGAGACATTCTATTGGAAGGCACGCCGTTCGACCCGCGGGGACACCCCTCCGCTGATCGAATGCGATGCGACTGTCTACGATCCAAGAAACCAGTGTCGGAGCGAAAGCTAATTCGTCGCACTGAATGTTTTCGATGCCTCAGCCAAGCGCGGAGGTCCTTAAGGCCTCACTGATAGCAGAACTGCGTCAACGCTATTCCGGAATGACGTCGGCGGTGCCGCCGAAGCCTTAGTCCATGGATTTGCTGACGATCAATGACACTCCATCAGCGAGTACATTTTCCCGCGACGTTGAGACTCGCCACCAGAACCTCGCTTTGAAACGCGGTCGAGCGCGAGCGGGACCGAGACGGCGGTCAGAACCCGGTCGAACCGACCTATTGTCATGGTCATCGTTCGTACATTGCAACAAATGATGCTTCTCCTCGAGAAGAGAGAGCCTTAATGACGGTTCGAGAGCTGCACCTATCTGCGGCTCGTGAATGTACGAGTTCGAAGCTCCCAGAGGCTCATTCATTGCTCTGATTACAAGAGCAGACGATTCCTCTCCTCGATTTCCCTCTTCGGCTTCTCCGTTATTTCGACAGCGTCCCCTCCCTCCTCGAGGAAGAGGAGACGACCGGGAAGTTGAGGCTTCGCCATCTTCCTCGAATCCACGAGCTCGGGTCCATCTCGAGTCCAAGGCTCTGATGCTGGCTGCACCCGAGTCACGAAGATGACGACGCGGGTCTCGCGCAGCCGACGGAGAACAGAATCGCCTCGCTTCCAGACGAGTGAGCACGGCGAGACATAGACAACTCGTTCCGAGTGATGCTTATTGTCACTTCAGTGGTTTTGAACTGTGCTTGTTTTCCAAATCTTTTTTTACATTGTGCGCGGCTCGAAACCTCCATGGTTGGAGTTCGAGGACATTTTC